CTTTATAAAATCATTAATGATCATTAAATAAATCAATAATCTTTATATATATAATCATTAAATAAATGATTATATATATAATCATTAATAATCCTCTAATTTAGTTACTTTAATGAAATTAATCCGTGCTGAGACGGCGTTTTATTGTTTGAATCTTCTTTGAAATGTTTTCTGGACTTCTACACTTTGTGCTGTTTTAGCCACCAAATGTCAAAATGTTCGGCTCATTCAGCCGATGACGTTCAGTTTTTGTAACTTTTATAAATTTCTAAATATTTTCATTTAATTAGTTTCGCTGAAGAAACTCTGAGATCGCTCAAATTTTTTCTAACTTGTTTTCAAAAGCCTTCTTCAGCCTACTCACTTCATTTTTGTATTCTTAGGCCACTTTTAGCTAATGTTTGGCTAATTTTTGCTTTGCTTTTAGCTAATTTTGCCACTTTGACCTTTTATGTTTTATCTCTTTTGCTTCTTTTAAGTTTTAACTACAGTTTTAGTTTTACTGTAGTTTTTAGCTATACTTCCACTAACCTAACTAATGTGTTGATACTTTCAGATTTTTTTTAGCTACTTTTAGGTTTTACATATCTTTTGCTCATTTTAGCCTTTAGTAGCAGTTTTAACAATTGTAGCTTTTAGCTGTTGCTTTGCTCATTTTATCTTGTAGCAACTGTTCGGCTAGCTGTAGTCTTTAGCTAAAGTTTATTCACTTTAAATTTAAACTAGTTACGTTACTTTAATCTTTAACATACTGTTTTGCAATCTTTAGCTTTTAGCTGCTATTTTGATTATTTTAGTTTTAGCTATTTTAATTCCTAATTTTAGCTTTTATGTACTGTTTTGCTAATTTTAGCATTTACCTAATGTTTTTTTTTAAATTATTTTAAATACTGATTTACTAATTTTATCTTTAAGCTAGTTTTGATACTTTACATTTTATGTAGAAGCTAAAAGCTAAGACCAGCAAATAAGTACCTAAAAAGTTAAATTAACATAACAAAAGTGAAAGGATACAATTAGGAAAAACTATATATATATATATATATATATATATATATATATATATATATATATATATAAAAGCTAAGCAATAGCTAAAACTACCAGAACAATACATAAAAGCTAAAATGAGATAAATAATAGCTGAAAGCTAAAATTATCAAAATGATCAAAAAGGTAAAACAAGCAGAACAATACCTAAGAGCTTATATGAGTTAAATACTTACTAAAAGCTAAAACTAGTAAAACAGTAGCCGAAAGCTAAAATCTTGGCTGGTATTCTAAGATTTGAAAGACCACAACGCTTTTTAAGGGTTTGAAAAGATCTGAATATCTTCAACGAACAAATACAAATAAAGTCAAAAAGTTAAAGTCAAGTTAAAAGTTTCTGGCTGAATTTCCTGAATGAGCTAAAGGTTCTGATACCTGAATGGCTGAAATAGCTGAAAGTTTGCTGGAGTCCAAATGGAAAAAGCTCTAAAGAGGAAAAAGAAAAGCTTCGTTTGGCGTTTGCACAATAACAGCTGTACTCAGATCAGATTTAAGGAGGCCGAGACTTCTGCCATGTGTGTGTGTGTGTGTGTGTGTGTGTGTGTGTGTGTGCCGTCTCGTAGCGTCCCTCTGCTCTTCTTGCTGTCGTCTGCACGCGCTCAGCAGATTTATTCGGTCGGCCATCACAGATTCTCACTCTTACAGCGTCTGCAGGTTCTCAAAGTCCCGACCCGGATAATCCATCACTCTGAACGTGACGCCTTCAGAGTCGCTGCGTTCTTTCGGTCATGCCAGGACGCACACCTGGAAGGAGCTTACGTGAAATGATAAAACTTTTATCTTTACGGACTTCAGTTTTATTGTGAAGTGAAACGTTTCTTTGTCTCCAGGCATCCCGCTGGTTTGCTTCCTGGTGCTGCTGCCGCTCAACATCCCCTGGTCTCAGATCAGCGTCACCTGGCTGGGCGTGGTCCACTTCCTGGCCTGCCTGTCGCCCCAGCTGGGCTCTGTGGTCTACCACCTGTTCATGAACCTGGAGGGGGGGGAGCCGGTCTACCACACCCTCCTGAAGCTGGACGTCTGTGGGATCTGCATGATCAACACTCTGGGTGAGCCTTCAGGGCCCGACTCGCTCTGGGTCCAGATTCTGCCGTGGTTCTTCTATCGTTGCACCTTTTCAAGGATTTGATGTTGCCTCAGTGACTGTCACAGTTAGCATGCAGCTGTTTAGCTTGCAGCTGCGTTGGTCTGCCGGCACGTTTCAGCTCTTAGTTCAGAGTCAGAGGTTCTGCAGGAGCAACAAACCAACAGCTGAACCTCTTCCTCACAGTCCGATTCTGTCGGAATAAGAATCACAAGGGCCTTATTTTTATATACAGCAAGACAGGAGCTAAAAGCTAAATGTAGCATAACATATGTCAGAAATCTACCGGTAAATGTGATAAAACTTGTTTAAAGTTTCAATTAGCAAAACTGTAGTTAAAAGCTAAAAGTAGCAAAGCAGATGCTAAAAATTAAAATGTGCAAAAACTATGCTAAAACCATAAAAGGCTAAAATTTAGCTAAAACATTGGCTAAATCATAGCTAAAACCTAAAAGTAGCAAATATTGAAAAAAAGTTACAAATAAAAAAACAGTTACTAAAATCAGCAAACATTAGCATCTTGCTAAACTGTAGCTACAAGCTATAAATAGCAAGACATTAGCTTTGAACTTAATGCAATAGAAACTGGCAAAAACTGGGTGTGCTAAAACTGTAGCTAAAAGATAAAAGTAGCAAAACAGATGCTAAAAGCAACATTGTTGCAACAAACAGACCCAAACTAAACGTAGTGAAGAGAGAAAAACATTTGCTAGGAGTTAAAATTAGCAAAATCACTGCTAAATGCTAAAATCTGTAAATAAAAATGGCATAATGCAAAACAGAAGCTAAAATGAGCAAAACAACAGCCTTGAGCTGGATGTAGCATCAAAGCTCAAAGTAGCAGAACGGCAGCTAAAATGTACATTTAGCAAAAATGTATCTAAAACCTAAATATACCAAAAGTGTAGCTAGAAGCCGAAATTAGAAAACAAAAATATGTAAAAGCTAAAATTTCACCAAAAAGGAGCTAAAAGTATTAAAGTAAATTTCAGCGAATGTTTTCAAGGGTTGAAGAGATTTTCATGCATTTTTATGGAGAAAAATGTAAACAAAGTTAAATAGTTAAAAAAATTATAAAAGTTATAAATAATAAAATAACTCAAAAAGAGCCAAACGTTACGTTAAAAATAAAGTAAATTGTATTTAAGTCCATTCGGTGCTTCATGACATGTTTTGGACTCAGAACAGAATCAGCGGCGGGCGATCGTGTAATTTCAGCACCTCGTCGTCCTCTGTGTTCTGACCCGTGTGTCCTGCGTTCTCAGGGGCGCTGCCCATCGTCTACATCACGCTCTTCTGCTACCCGTGGGTCCGGACCGTGTCCCTGCTCATCTACATCCTGCTGTCCACGCACGCCGTCTACTGCGCCGTCACGGCTCGGAGCAGCGTGCGGCGGCTGCGCTCCTTCGCCTGGCAGGCGCTGTTCCGCTTCTCCTTCTTCCTGCTCCGCTGGGTGGGCGTGGGCTGCGGCAGCCCCACCTCCCTCCGGCACTTTCTCATGATGGACGCGTTGGCCGTGCTGGGCGGGGTCATCAACATCACGCGCATCCCGGAGCGCTTCCGGCCGGGACTCTTCGACTACTGGTGCAACAGCCACCAGATCATGCACGTCCTGGTGGTGGGGTCCATCCTCTACCTGCACTGGGGGGTCCTGGACGACCTCCTGTGGATCAACAGCTACGACTGTCCCTCCAACTGACCCCCACTACAGCCCCCACCCCCTGAAACTGAAGGACCCTGGGGGGGCTGGGGGTCTCTGCATGTGCTCACCTCATGCTCTCAAACTCAGAACGAAATCATCCATCCTGAAACTTTGCAGACAGAAGTATGTCAAGTTACACACACGGTTACTGGACACGCACACACACACACACACGGTTACTGGACACACACACACACACACACACACACACACACACACACACACACACAGTGAAGTAGAATATTTAAACCGTCAACCCGTGAACTGAGTCGATATACTCCAGTCAGAGGTAAAAGCTCTGTGGTTCAGTGGCGCAGTGGTTCTCAAACTGTGGGGCACAACCCCTATGAGGGACATGAGGTTATTACCGGGAGGGGGGGGGTACAACCACTCCCATTTTTTAATTTTAATTTTTAACCCTAAAATTTGCAGCAGGAACTAATGTTTAGCTGCTGTTTCCACTCAGTCTTGTTCTTGACGGACAGGACCGCGCGCTGGGCTGTGCAGAGCGTGAAGCCACGCCCACTCTCAGCTCCTCCCTTCGGGCTTCGCGTGATGCGATCAGTGCCGCCGTGACAGGTACTTTGGCCCTTCTTCTTCTTGACCATCTACGAATCCAACGGCTGTTTTTGTGTTTTGGGAACTTCAGGGTTTCGTTCTTCTCAACGAGCAGCAGGTGCTGCTGTGAGTCTCACCCGCCCACGGCACCTTCAGCCGGCCCGGTTCCCTCCATGCGGTCCAGCCTAGGAGATGGTCGCCCGTCTGGTCCAGACTGCAAAGTGAGGTGTGCAATCCGCCGCTGGCTTAGAGCCCCTCATACTCCATCTGCAGCCGAACGGTCGACTCGCGGTCACGTGGTTATTTGTTAATAGTGCACGAGACACGGCGCAGAGCTCCTGGGAAGCCCCTCCCTCTTCAGTACACGCCGGTGCGTCCACCCCATCCCTGCATCCGCTGTTTGGCCACAAATCTGTCACGAAGAGAGCGCCACACTTTTCAGCAGACAGACTCCTGCGTGCACGATGTCCGTGCGATCGTGCACGATGTCTGCTCCGTCTCCGTCCAGGCGTTTCGGGCCGTTTGACTCTTTTAGTGTCTCCTGAAGTACAGCTGAGTGTCCGAGCGCTTTGCTGCTTTGACAAACGACCACAAACTCCTGAGCAGTCGCACGCTCCTGCGAGAAAACGTTCGGCGTCGTGTGGAGAAGCGGCAGGCGAAGCCGCTCTGAGAACAAAACGACAGGATGTTCGTGACGCGGGTTTCGCGGCTTCAGATGGAAGACGCAGAACCCCGATGCATGCTCAATAATCCAGGAGAAGCTGCAGAACCGTTTCAGTCGGTCACTTTTTCCTGCTCCCACGCCTGGATAAAGACGGACGGCAGGAACCGTCATCAAGTTCTTTGTTCTGACTTTGTTCAGGCAGTTCTTTGTCTCCTGGAACGTTTTTCCTCTTTGTCCTAATATGCAAATTAGGCGATGACATCATTTAGCGCCTTTTAGGACGGCCAATGGCTGCTTTCTAAAGCAGAGGAGAAGCTTGTCGTAACTTTAAAGAGCATGTGACTAGTTTTATTTATTTATTTATTGTTAATTACTGACGTTGGGGTCACAGCCTGAGACGTTTGAGAACCACTGCTTTGGTTGTTCCAGAGTTTAAAGCCTCTCCGGTTTAACAGACGGCCAAGTTGAGCTTTAATCGATGTCGTCATCAGATCCTCCCAGATGTCTCTGTTGCTACCTCTGCAGCACATCCACCCCCCCACCCCACAAACGCCTCTGTTTTTATACCACATGTACATAATGGAGGTGCTGTGTGAGGCGTCATCTCCTCACTGACCGGACTGTTTGTTGTTTTTCTGCCTCTTTCTGTGAGTTGGAGGTGAAGGATGAAGGGTTCATTCCTGCTAACCGCCCGCAGCTCACCCGCGCAGCTTTTATTAACGATAAACTGCGTCCAGTTTTCCAGCTAAGTTGGACTGGTCATGTCAGGCAAAGTTTTAATGGTTTAATGTTTTTGAGCATCGTTTGAAACCACTTTTCTCTTGTAGAGTTTCCTTGTTTTTGCACTCAGACGTCAGTTTTTACAACGTTTCTGTTCAGGCGTTCTCTTTTAAAGTCTCAAAGAACTCGATGCTTTAAGGTGAATTACACATGCACGAAACACCAAAAAACTAGATGTTGCCACTTAAAAAAAAACAGCGAAAACTACTGAAACGTTTGTACAGCGTCAGCTGGCTGTGGACACAACGTGCACACACTAATCTCCCTTTAGGGACAGATTGTATTTATTATTCTTCGGGTTCCAGTTGTTTTTATTTGCAGGTGAATGTGCGCGTCTGTCGGCTGCAGAGTCTCTGCAGACGGATCAGCCGGAGGTCACGACTAATCTTCTGTTTTATCTAAACAGCACAAATCCTGATGACTGGGATTAGCCCCACTGTTCCTCCTCTGATCGTTTTTTTTTATCCTGCAGTTTGTGACGTCTCAGCAACAAACCACGTATTCGCATCAGCTCATCACCCGCCACTTTTAGACTGAGGTCCACATGTTGAGAATGACGGCGCTGCAGCTGTTTTCATCTCATGTGATCTCTTGCTTGATCTGTTAGCACTTGGAGTTTGAGTCGTGTATGACTTTCAGCTACTACCACAGCAAGTTTTAGCTCGTTCTCTGTAAAACTGACCACCTAAACCTCGTTAATCTGCAGTCGGGTTGACTCTAAAAGTTCATCAGCTGTCCACGTAATGATCGTTTTCTGAGGGTTTCTTTGAAATTCGGTCTGTGGGTCATGAGATATTTTGCTAACGCATTAACAAACATTATCCCTTCAGCTTCGCTGGCAGCTGATTAAAAAAACAACCAAGAACCTTCTGCCTATTATTATTTAAACACTTAATTTTATTGTTTTGCTGTTTTTAGATGTTCATGTTGTTTAATTTAGTTGTTGTGGTTTATATTCTGGTCGATTTTTTGCTTTGCGACAAACAAGAACACGACTTGCACTTTTAAAAAGTTCAGATGTTGTTTGTTTTTTTTAATGTTCAGATTGTCGAAAAGCCCACGAGCGGGAATGAACCCGACACCCTCCGGTTCTGAACTCTGTCGTTTCAGCAGCTTTGCTCCACTCCAAACACCTGAGAACGGTCCAGTCGACTTTAATTTACTAATCCACAACATTTGCACTTGTTTTGACTG